GACGAGAAGCATCGATTGATGTATCACATGACATGGTTTTTCTAACAGGGAGGGGGGGAAATAAAAAAAACGCAAAATATTTCGTTTTTTTTTTTAATTTTGAAAAATTAAATGCGAAGGCGTTATTAAATATTTGTAATCAAATGTATTAAACATTTGAAACTTTCCTTCGAATGGTAGTCGCACAGCTGTGCGACATGACTCCCTAGTATGTTCCTATTTAATTGTTTTATCAATTTAATAAAGCAACAACTCGATAATTTTAAATCACGGTTTTCCAGAGTAGATATTTCAAGCCATATTAAAAGATTTTATACGTGTTGCTGTTGTACTATCGATTTATATCTTACTCGCTCCAAAGCACGAGCATATAGTACAGTCGCGCATACTCACGGGTAAATGTTTTTGATGTCTGGGGGATATTTGGCCCTTACAATTAGTCTGGCTGAATAAATATATGTTTAAAATTGTTCCTTAAATAACATATATAAAAACCAGACATTAGAATATAAGTAAAGTTACAAAAAAAAAATTGGGAGCTTTAAAGCGTCTAGCGGAAGTTATGGCCCACGGAAAGTGTCTGGCAATGTTTAATATTATTTTATGAAATATATATAAAAATCAGCTTTTAGAAAATAAGTAAAGTTAACCTTATTTATAGTTACCTTTCTCACCTGGTACCTGTGAATTGGCCCACTAACCAACTTAGCAGGTATGGAGGCATTCAATACATATATAAACACTACATGATGCCCCACATTTTGTCCTTTAGAAAATAAGTTATGTCTGGGGGCACTGGGCTCTTGGTCTATTGTGTTATGCAGAACTTTGGCGAAGACATCGCTGCAACAGAAATGGAAGTAATTGAGTTTCAAAATGATTTAGCCTTAAAAAAGGTTAGTCTCAAGTACCAAATGTATCTGGCCTATTGTAAGTAAAGACAAATATTCAGTTCTATGCCGTGTTGCCTTGAAAGTGAAAGCATTATTCAGTTCAACCTATTTGTGTGAATCTTCTTTTTCCAATATGAAGTTTATTAAGAACAAATATCGCAATCGACTTTCAGATGAACATTTGGATAATTGTATTCGAATGGCTGTATCAAATTATACTGCAAACATTAAAAAAATTATCGATGAGTCTGAGTGTCAGCCTTCTCATTGAACGTGCTTTTTTATTTTTCAATGTTTATGTTCATGATAGTGCGTTACTTTTTTGTTGTTATTATTAACTATTTTTAAATCTTACGTGACATGCCGTTGTGGCTGGATAAAAGTTTGTGTTTATTTTTCAAACACCTTCGTTTGGTAGGTAGCTATGAACAAGTACGTACTAGTAATATTAGTTATTTTGTTATTAGTTTATTATTAGTACCTATGTATTATGTATTGCCAGTTAAATAGTAAAATAAATACATATAATGATAAATTAACTGTGGATTATTTCATTTACGTTGCGTTACGTGGCTTCCGTGTGGGTAGCTCGCTGTTTATTCCAAAATTAACAAAGTAGCTCAACACGTTGAGAGGTTGGCGACCACTGTATTAAACAATGCAAAAGTTGGAGATACAGACATTCTCTTGCTTAAGCAGTCATTCTCTTTAATGTTGATTTAGATATTGTACCACAAATTACATGTAATCTTGACGCAGTATGTATGTGCAACGCTTTAAGCAACATTTTTGATAAGAAAGATGAATATTCCTCACATGCTTTGGTTAAGGCTATAGTTGGTATTAAGTGTAAATCTGTAAAAACTTTTCCTGAGCATATTGAAATATAATTAACTTTGGGCAAGATTAATTGAAAGAACCGCAATCCGTTCTAATGACACCGACAAAGAATCACTAGAAGTAGCATTCAGATCATTGGTAACCTCGGTAAAAGCAAAAGGATCACTATTTTTAACTACGTTATTAAGTGAAGATAATTTGACAACCAAAAATAATTTTACCTATGATGATGTATGTGCAAGATTATTTGAACTGAATGTAGTAAATACAAGGTATGTAGTAAATACAGAGTGTGAAGCATTTTTAAATAAACAGAAAAAGAAAAAATTTCTTAAATACCAATCCTTAGAATGCTCATTCTGCAAAGAAAATAAAAGGTGGTATAAAGGTCACACTATTAATAATTGCAGAAATAAAAGCAAAAAATGAGCAAGCAAATAATACCTTAGCTACATCTGATTCTGATGAAAACATAGCATATCCAGCCTTTACTTATAAGAGCAGGAACTGGCAGTGGATTTTTGACACAGGAGCTACATCACACATGTCAAGAAAGAAAGAATGTTTTAAAGAGTTACAACCATTTAATAGTATTATTCATTTGGGAAATAATGACGTTATTCAAGAAAATATAATTAGAGATGAAGATAATTTTTGGAAGTATCCCCAGAAATAGTCCAACCAAGGCGTAGCTGTAGGACAAGAAAGTATCCAGATAATTATGATAATTACTTACATTACGCTAATGATGATCCAGTTTCGTATACGGAAGCAGTTACAGGACCAGAAGCTCATAATTGGATCTTATCTATACAGGATGAACTTAAGTCTATGGAGGATAATCATGTATGGAAATTAGTCCAACAACCTCCTAATGGAAGAGTAGTTGGATTTAAGTGGATTTTTAAGAAAAAAGATCTAAGAAAGGAGAAATAAAATACAAATCCAGGCTAGTTGCACAGGGATTTACTCAAATTCATGGTATTGATTTCGATGAGACTTATTCGTTATGAAACAATAAGAATACTGTTGTATTCATTAACAAATGATTGCAAAAAATTAGACATTAAAACCGCCTTTTTAAATGGCGATCTAGATTTTATTATTTTTATGAAGATACCAGAAGGCATAACTGCTGAGCCAGGGAGAGTGTGCTGTTTAAAAGAAAGTATTTACGGCTTAAAACAATCTTCCAGGCAGTGGAATCAGAAATTAGTAACTGTTTTGAAAACTATTAATTTAATCCAATCTAATGCAGGCCCCTGTTTGTTCGATTCAGAGGATGGTACTCAAATAGTTGCTATTTATGTCGACGATCTTCTAATCCTAGGATTCACTTAAAATCGTGGATGAAACTTTGAACCAATATTTTGGAGTAACTCATTTAGGGATACCTAATTTCTTATGTTCCTTACAAATATGTTGAGAAAAAGATTGCGTTTATCTATCACAAAAACAGTACATAATAAGGATTTAAAAAAAAATATGGTATGAAAAATTATAAACCTGTTTCAAAACCAATGGATATTGGAACAAAACCTCAAAAGGCCAAAGAAACTGACCCTAGAACTAACTAATAAGTCTATCAATCTAAGATTGGCAGTCTTTTATATTTGGCCTTGGGAACAAGGCTGGATATCGCATATGCGGTAAACATTCTCTCTCAGTTTAGTTCAGATCCAACAAATGAACATTCCAATATGATTCAACATGTATTTCGCTACCTAAAAGGAACTGTGGATATCAATTTGAAGTACGAAGAGACTACAAATTCAAAACTTCATAGGTAATAGTGATGCTTCATATGTAGATTCATTGAACACTAGAAGATCAACGAGTGGGTATGTAGGATTTTATGTAAATGCCGATGTTACATGGACAAGGTGTAGCTGTTTCCACAATGGAATCTGAATATATGGCATTCTCGTTATCAACTCGACAACTAATTTGGATGACCCATGTGTTTAAAGATTTGAAACACAAGGATAGGCCTATGATACTGTGTGATAATCAAGCCTCTATACATATAGAGTCCAACCCAATATTACACCAGCGAAGGAAGCACATAGGTGTTTATTATTACGTAAGACAGAAGTTCATGGACAATACAATAGATATCTTGACTAAAGAAAACATAGCAGACGTGCTTAAGAAGCCAATTGGCAACTCGAATGTTGTCTATCTATTTTTATTTACACTTGTTGACTATGTTGTTTAACTAGATTGTAAGAGGTTTTTTAAATAATTGTCTGTGGTGCTCGCGTCTCGTTTGGCGAGCACACAAAGAACTTCCAACATTTTATGACATTTTTGTTGCTCTTTCATGTTTGACGTTTTATGCCATTATTTTTTGGTTATATGCAATGTCTTGAGAGTGACAACCATCTGGTCTCTTCTTTTTCAATAACGTACCTGTTATTTATGAAGCTATGCTTTTCCTTTTGTAAATCTTTACAGGATTTTCCACCTGGGGGTCGATTCTCGACTTGTAGGAACCTTTTCCTATAGGAATTTGTGACACTTTCCTATATGTAGGAAAATGTCATAAATTTTGGATGTACATAAAAATGTCAAAAATTCCTATAGGAAAATATTCCTACGAGTCGAGAATCGACCCCCAGGATAGAAGAACGAAGTAGACAAGAAATTGAGAGCCAGCCATATATTAACGACCGCCGTTGCTATGGAAACAGTAGAAAGACAGACAGTAAACAAGCATTTTTCCAAACATCACAAACAAATCCAAATTTTATAATTCCGATTATACCATTTTTATATAGTTTTTTCTGATTAAAATTTTTCTAAATTAGTTGTAGCCATTACTCAAAAGGATTTAGTGGTCGCCGACCGGGACCACTAAATTGTCATTTTTTTTATTAAATGAAAAATAAAAGTCAGAAGCATTATATTTTATTCCAAAATATTCAAAATTATCTTCTAAAGGAATTGTAGTATTTGGAGTTAGGTAAATCTCCCTCTACTATTTGATACGCTCTTAGGGATAGTGGTCTGGGATTTTGGAGTTCTACACATTCGGTAGTTTTATCCTCCTCCTCCTCACAGAATCTACACTCACTATCTCCAAATTTTCTCAGTTTACTAAGATGTCCTTTAAGTCGGCAATATGCATGTTAGACGGGGATAAGTGAAAATGTGGGGTAAATGGAAACCATTAATTTTAAAAATAATTAAAATAATACGTTTTAAAATTAGCTAGACACTGGTATTAACCACCGAAAACGCTTATATAAAAATACTTATACATACCTCCAAAAACGCGTTGATGTAAATTTCGGATTGACCGTTAATTAATGGTAAGAATTCATCAAAATCTTGCACTCTTAACTCGGGTCCTATTCTTTGATCTTCAAGCATGTATTTAATTTTTTCTTTATAGGATTCAACAATCTCTTGGGCTATTAGAGGCTAAAAATTATCAAGTATAGAGAAAAACATTTTTCGACTGTCTACAGCTGCCTAGCTTCAGGAAGTGCTTTTAATGTTTATGTTGCACAAGTATGTTGAAGCAATATTTTTCCAACGCAGGAAATATTCATTGCAGGCCCGCGCCATACATAAAGGAAAAGTCGTGTGGTGCACGACGGCGCCGAAAAGACTCAGTTCAATTCACTCAGCTAAAATATTAATAACAATACCTAATACCTGGATATTATATCGTTGGTTTACAAGCAAAACACACTAAGTGAATTTTTTTTATTTTGGACTTATTAAGATCAAAATAAACAAAAAAGGTTGACAGCTGTGTGCACATAGTTTAGATTCAAAAAGAAAAACTTGTATTTCGTGCAAAACTTTTTTATTAATCAATGCAAAGCGCTTTCGGCTTATTTGCCATCATCAGTGCTCATCTACAAAAATTGTGGATGTAAACTTACAATTTAAAAAGATTTTAAAAAATATATTATAAAATCTGAATTAGACTTTTAAGTCAAAAGTTAAAATAGTATATATACAATTGTTTGAACAAATCAAAAATTACAAGAAACAAACAAAGTGACAAAAAACTGGTATTGGGAATAGTGAGTGTGGGATAAGCCCTTACAAATCAAATCTGATCTCCAGAAGCAAGTTAGCTTGTGTGGAATTAAGGATATAATTTTGGGAGTGAGGATGACCAGGAACTTGTTGGATACGTTGTGGACAGTAGGTAGACTTTTTCATAATTTTAATGTATATAAAATATATAAAAAAAACCTTCAGTTTTTTTTACTTTGGCCTTCTGCGTTTTACTTTCTTCATATCAAATATTGTATTCTAGATTCAAATTTCAATATATCTTCCACAGTCACCCTCTAATTGTAAATTTCTTTAAATTTTAACTAATTTGTTAACCTTTTTTCAATTTTGTGAATAGTAAGGGTGGCATGATTCCTTAATTCCACACAAGCTAACTTGCTTCTGGAGATCAGATTTGATTTGTAAGGGCTTATCCCACACTCACTATTCCCAATACCAGTTTTTTGTCACTGTTTGTTTCTTGTAATTTTTAATTTGTTCAAACAATTGTATATATACTATTTTAACTTTTGACTTAAAAGTCTAATTCAGATTTTATAATATATTTTTTAAAATCTTTTTAAATTGTAAGTTTACATCCACAATTTTTGTAGATGAGCACTGATGATGGCAAATAAGCCGAAAGCGCTTTGCATTGATTAATAAAAAAGTTTTGCACGAAATACAAGTTTTTCCTTTTTGAATTATTAAGATCAGTTCATTGGATTTCTTCCAATTTATAAACTGGTAAAATCCACTATGTCTTCTAACAATTATAATCTTATTTTTAAATTATTTTCATATTCATTAGGTCCATAATAGCATTAAGTGACTTAATGGATTTTTCATCAAATCTGACTTAGTGTGTTTGGTTGGTAAGCAGACGATATTAACCTTTAAAAGGTGACATGTTGCCTTATTAAAATAATGTATTGTTTTATTTTTATTTGTCGATCAGTTTCGTCCTGTTATATATAAACGAGTATTTTTAATGTTTTAAATATTTTTTTTAATTTTTTGTGCTTTTGTATATATTACATTTAAAAACAAAATACAAACATTTTGAGTTGTAATACTTTAGAACATAGTTCTATTTTCTATTGGTTTATAATTGTATTATGTACTTCAATAAGAAAATTCTTGTATGGCTTGTACTTGTAAAATATAAAAATTAAAATAAATTTATGAAAATGCTCTTTAAAATTATTTTTTAATATGTACCTGTACTCACATATGAACGTAATACAAATTTGGGACATTAAATTTGCAAAAGGGCGCCAAAAGTGGCATGCACGGGCCTGATTCATTGTGAGTTAATTCGAAAATAAATTATTTCTTGAGAATTCAACAAATTTAAAATAAATATAAAACCATAAATAAGCGTCATACGTTAATGAAAAGTAGCCGAATCATATCTTTAAATAAAATATTATATAAGATCAATAATCGAATACAAAATTATTTACTTTTAATTTAAATAACTTTACCTTTAGATAATTATCTTGTTCGTCCCAGTCTAAATAAAGCCTTGTTTCCAATCTTGGTATATCCATTACAGCTTGAATCATCGAATCAATCAACGCCAGCAACACTTCCCGAACATTTTTGAAGGCTGGTTCAAACTGTAAGACACTTCCTCTTTGCTGAAGCTTTATTTGAAAGCCTTTATTTGCATACTGAAAAGTAAAATCTCAATACATTATTTATAACAATGAACGTATATGTATGACGGTAGACATACTCGTTTAGTTAAAACATGGAAGCAATTTATTTTTTAATAATATTCTTTTGAGATCAGGAGTAATATCAAAAATATGTCGATGGCTTAATGCTTATAATGTTAAATACTACAAATAATATTAAAGTTTTTATTTGAGGTTATTCAGATGGTTATCCAAATAAGGCTAAGTGGTTTTTATAGAATAATTAACCTGTTATATAATGAACGTATCCGTTGGTAACGTTATTATAAATGTACGTAACGTACCCTTAGGATGGTAGCACTTGCTGTCATACATCAGGAAGACGTTTGACACTTGCTCATTTCTCAACACTCTCGTCTTGTCAGTCAAACAATGAACGTCTAATCATTCAATATTTTTGTCATCCTTGTGTATTTTGTCAGAATCATATAATGAATACATAAATAATAAATATTTACTGGACAATATATTATTTAGCTTAAACCTATTGCTGACTCTAATTTGTTTCTGGATTCCTAGACTAATGGTCTAGCGTATTAATAAACTCTGTCAACTGGACTATGGAGAGAACGTGTCAGTGATAACGTCAAACATTTGCATCCATTCTTCTCTTGCCGCGTTTGAGAATCCACATCGGATGCATCTGAGATGTTGTGAATTTTTTATCACGTGATAGGGAATTAGATCTGAATATAGATGTAATAAACATACGCTCTAGACTGTATTGGTCACGTGATAAAATGTCAGTGACAAGTTAGAAGTTTATAGTTTTTAAATTTGACTTTTGAGATTACAAATCAACCTAAATTTGAAATCTAAACAAAATTTAAACAAACTAAACACTTTTATATTCATGCTAGCACAAACAAAGGATAAATTGACAAACTTGGCTTCACAGAACACTTACTTTCTAGCATGGAACGAACATCTCATTCACATCTCATTTGAAATCGAGATGTAACAAATGTAATCTGAACAGGTACATCTGGGATAAACAGACGCAGATGTAGATGTAGTAGATGTGTGCGATGTGGATAAAAAACGCTCGAGATGTAAAAAATGCATCCGATGTGGATTCTAAAACGCGGCATCTGTTTATACCGCGGACACGGTGAGAGAGACGAACAATATAAACAACATCATACCACAGCTTATACAATACAGCTTCACAACTCCGTGTCGGCGTCTTTGATCTGGCGGTCGAGAACCAAGCAAGACGGAATGGTGCTATCTCTGTTAGATTAAAGGGAAAAGTCGGGCCCGGATTAAGCAATTTTTTTATTATTGAAAAAATTGAAAAACTTGACGTAATAAGGTTGGTTACATGCCATGTTAAGTAAGTTTTGGGAAATTAAATTTTTAATTTGTTTTAAATCTGTCAAATATAATTAAAAAAATTATTTAAATATAAATATTACGAAAAATAGCACATCTTTCGGATTAGAGGTAAAATAATTTGTATGTGGCTAGTAAAATCCTATGGTATTTTGGAATTATAAAGAATTTGTGCTTTTATTTTAACAATATTGCGGTTATACAGGGTGTCCTTTAAAATGTGTCCCAAAATTCTCAGGCAGATTCCTTAACCAAAAAATGGAAAAAAAGTTCCTATAGACCTATGTCCTAAAGTGCCCCCTAAGCGAGCAACAGCCTCTCGAAATCATTTTTTTTATTTTGATTTTTTGAATTTTCTTAAAAATGGAAACAAATAAAAGAACCAAATTTTGGCTGTTAAATATGATCAATAATAGTGACCTTTTGACACCTTCAAAAAGAAATTATTTCGTCAGGGGTGTACTTGGGAATTTTTTGAAAATTTTGATTATTCATAACTTTTTTGTGTTTTTGGTAATGACTTATCCATATTTTTTTTTACATTCTAAATTGAAAACTACGTCAAAAAGGAATACTTGTTTGATCTCGATTGGAGCAGCCGTTTCCGAGAAAACATCATCCAAAGATATTCGTGCAGTTTAGGTTAACTTTCAATTTTGGCTGTTGTAGCCAAAAAGTTGGAAATCGAGGAACACGGCTTACATGTCCCTATCCCTACTTTTGAAGGTCTATTCAGTGGCAAAAAATATTAGTTGATACAGGGTGATCAAAAATCGGATGTGATTTTGAATTTTTGATCACCCTGTATCAAATAATATGTATTTTATGTCACTGAATAGACCTTAAAAAGTTAGGATAGGGACTGTAAGCCGTTTTCCTCGATTTCCAACTGTTTGGCTACAACAGCCACCTGAATTTGAAAAAATGTGATTTTTGAGTAGCTGTAGATCCTTTACTATTCATATTAGATAACAAGTGTGATATATAATTGAAATCAGATTATCGAGCAGATTCTAAAAATATAAAAATATACAGGGTGTTCCATTTAAAAAACATAACTTTGATTTGGCACGGCCTTATGAAACACCCTGTCACATCGTAACTAATTTTAAAATGTGAAGCTTAAAGCTGCCTACTTTTATTATAACAGATCTACAGAGCTTCCTCACACTAATCAATCACCCTGTATACTATTTTTAGCTCTCTAAATAAAATTTAAAAATTTAGTTCCCATTTATTTATTATGAAGACCATAAGGTTTGTATTTAGCTGTTTAGAATAAAAAAGTAAAAATATGTATTTTTTTGGCGTTTTTGTGTTTCATGGATAATTTTTTTCGCTCACTGATAAAAATGTTTCTTCAGTTAAACATTATTTCTAAAAGTGTTCTGGTGCGATTCGTTGTATTGTTATTATTTTGTTTAAAATGGCTCACAATAACTACAATAATGATTACACATTCGGCGAAATGACGGACATGCACTTATGTTTTGGACTCGCTTCTGGAAATGCCAATGAAGCTCGCAGACTTTATCAGGAGCGCTTTCCAAATAGGCATCTTCCATGCCCTAAGACGTTTTCTAGAATTGACGATAGACTTCGGGAAACTGGTACATTTAAGAAAAACTCTAGTAACAGTGGAAGACAAAATTATGTGAGAACTCCTGCTTTGGAAGAAGCAATTTTGAATAGGGTAGCTGAAACCCCATCGACAAGTACCAGAAAAATAGCAAATGGTAAGTAATTACTTATTTATTATTTTAGCTACCCCGTACCTTATCGTATAAAACTAGTTTTTTTACTTGTTATTGCTTCTCTTACATTTCACGACTTTTCGTATCGAAAAGAGTTGCGTTATGCAGAAAAAATCTGATTTCCCAAATCAATGGATTCTCTTTCTTAACTATTCACTACACAGATTCTCTCATTTAATTTCAGAAGTGGGAGTCGGACGTAACACGGTATGGAAAGTTTTGCGTGAACAACAATTGTACCCTTACCACATTCAAAAAGTTCAGGCACTTAAAGCTACTGATTATGAGCCGCGAGTTATCTTTTCTGAATGGTTTCTTGGAAGATGTAATCAAGATGCAATGTTTCTTAATAAAGTGCTATTTACCGATGAAGCTGGTTTCACTAGAGATGGTATAATAAATTTTGGAAATATGCATGAATGGGCTGAAGATAACCCTCACGCGGTTGTTGAACGTCACCACCAGGATAAATTTTCAATAAACGTCTGGGCTGGAGTTATTGATAATTACCTTATTGGACCATTTGTTTTGCCGAATAGGTTAAATGGAGCAGCATACAGGCTTTTTTTGGAAAATAACTTACATGAGCTTCTTGATAATATTTCGATTCAAATCAGACATAACATGTGGTTTATGCATGATGGAGCTCCACCACATTACAGCCTTGAAGCTAGACAGCACCTTAACGAAAGATTTGAGGGTAGAGTAATTGGCAGAGGTTGTCCTGTTAACTGGCCACCTCGTTCACCAGATCTAAATCCAATGGATTTTTTTGTTTGGGGTTATTTAAAATCATTGGTTTATTCCAGTCCTGTTGAAACAGTTGAAGAATTGGAAGAACGAGTTTTTCATCATTGCGAAGTTCTTAGGAATAATCCTCAAGTATTTTTTCGTGTAAGACAGTCTATGATGCGACGGTTGCGCTTGTGTGTGGAAACCAATGGTCGCCACATTGAGCATCTGCTTTAATTTTTTTTGATTTGTTTTTTTAGAATAAATATTTTTTTAAACCGTTTCTTATTATTAAATAAAAATAGTCCCACCACGACATTTGAACTACAATTATTTAGAGAGAGCTAAAAAAGTTATTTTTATTTACGAGATTCACCGAGGTAATTTAGGAAAATTGAAAATTAAGCTAAAGTGGACGAATATCTTTGGATGATGTTTTCTCGGAAACGGCTGCTCCAATCGAGATCAAACAAGTATTCCTTTTTGACGTAGTTTTCAATGTAGAATGTAAAAAAAAATATGGATAAGTCATTACCAAAAACACAAAAAAGTTAGGAATAATCAAAATTTTCAAAAAATTCCCAAGTACACCCCTGACGAAATAATTTCTCTTTGAAGGTGTCAAAAGGTCACTATTATTGATCATATTTAACAGCCAAAATTTGGTTCTTTTATTTGTTTCCATTTTTAAGAAAATTCAAAAAATCAAAATAAAAAAAATGATTTCGAGAGGCTGTTGCTCGCTTAGGGGGCACTTTAGGACATAGGTCTATAGAAACTTTTTTTCCATTTTTTGGTTAAGGAATCTGCCTGAGAATTTTGGGACACATTTTAAAGGACACCCTGTATTTAGATGTATTCTTATTAATTGAAATACAGATTTGTAGAAGTAATACTTTAACAGTTTTTATTAATATAATATATCCAATTTTTATCTGACCATACCGAAGTAGGGAATTTTGAAACTTTATAGTAATGTGAAATTTGAATTACAATATTACACGATATTACATAATTAGTACTTATTTTAGGTAGGTACTAAATTTGTACTTGGAGAAAGTAATATCGATTTTTACAAGAAAACTTGGAAAGTAAATTAATTTAGTTCTTATTTCTGATGTAAAACTTAAACCAAGAAAACAAATAAATTGTAGTTTGTTCAACAAGGGTGGATATGATAGCCATATCACACAAAGACGAAGTTTGAGCACGACGTCGTAGGCGGAGTACTCAATCGTCTGATTGTGATATGAACAATCCACTCGATATGGTCAGTATATTTTTTCTACGACCCACTAACGAAAATCTACAAATTTAAAAAATTATTTTAGGTTATTTAGACAAAATAACTAATTTTAAAATAATTTACGAAGTTGACTAATTTATAAAATAAAATAAACATGAAAAATTAATTAGTCCTCGGCCTAGATTCGATCCCGGGCTTTTCGCATGGAAGGCAGATGTTCTGTCCTCATCTTCACCGAAACTTTCAGGACTTTAGTTTTAATACTCGTAATTAAATTAGTATCATGTAGTTTGATTAAAATTTATTTTTTTTTAAATGTGGACATAATAAAAACAAAAATGCTATTATTTATCGAGTCTACACAAAAATTTTATTGTATATTTAATATCAATAACTAAAATATATATTGACAATTAGTTTAACAGAATTATCACTTATTTAAAAATTTTTAAATAATAGGAGTTGGGTGACCAAAATATGAACTGTTATTTGTAGATTTAAATTTGTTAAAGTGTTCTCACTACCTAAAATGGATATGAAATATATTCGTAGTTGAACGCAATAACATAATTTTTCGTTTTGTAGTATGTGCGTAGATTGGCTAATATCCATGCACAGATTACAAAACGAAAAAGTATGCTATTGCCTTCAATTGAACGAATATATTTCATATCCATTCTAGGTAGTGAGAACACTGCAAAAAAAAATAAATTCGCCAATCACCGTTCATATTTTGATCAACCGACTGCAATTATTTTTAAAATTTTAAATAAATGACAATTCTGTCAAACTAATTGTCAGTATATTTTTTAGTTATTGAGATTAAACATACAATAAAATAAGTTATTCTTTTGGAAAACGTTAGCATGGATGACTAAAGGGTATTGGGTTAATTAATTCTAAAAGTGTGGTACAAATGTTATTTTTTGTAGCCAATTCTTCAAAATTATTTTAAAATATCTTTTCAATATTGAATATTAGTTCTGCAAATTCATCATTTGACAGTTGCAGATTTCCAAATGTATCTGAATTGGCGTTATCATATGCCTTTTAAAAGCAATAAAAAGAAAAATCGTCTAATTCAACGTGATCTTTGTTATATTTAAGACAGGTATCGCAGGAGTGGATCCGCAAGGCTTTTATTAAAAGGTAACCACACACATACCTGATAAAATTTTTCTGTAGCAATTCGTCTTTACAATAATTTAGGGTGTTAATAATTTCATCATAAAATAAAATACAAGGTGTTCCATTTAAAAAACATACATTTTAATTTTCCAGGCAAAAACGTGACACCCTGTATATCCAAAGATATTTTTAAAATATGTAGGTATTTTTCAAATCCATATAACTTTTATTTAAAACTTTCTTGCGTGTCTACAACAAAATAATGAACAATAACGCACTAATGAGACACCCTGTATAAATTATATTTTTAACAATGAAAATTTCTTATAATGTAGTACTTATCGGTTTGGGTCCTTGGGAAAACTAAAGAATGTTTTCTTGCAGGTATAACCCTTATTAAAACAGCTTTTGACTGCACAAACTCATTCTACTCACAGCTAAAGAGTCACCAAAATAATAACAGTACCTTTAACTCAAACAAAATCAACGAAATTATAGGCTCCACGAAATTATACAATCAACGAAAGTATACGCACGACTCAACACCTTGCCTAAGTACGCTTCTGAACGCCAAAACCGTCTTTTCCCTTCGAAGGCGGAGCTTAAGCGATGTGCGACGAAATCGAGGCAAACCGTTGCCGCCAAGAGAGTGTTTTAGCTGTATTGTATAAGCTGTGATCATATCATGGAGTTGGAAGGTATAGTCTAGTCCCCAGTAGGTACATTGGATTTTGTAACGTGTCGCAAGTTTCTTAATGTTTTATGTCTACAAGACAAACTTTCTGATGCAATTTATTTGCGCGATAAGCGATAAAAATACAAGATTTTCGACTTGAGAAAGAAGCGCCAGTTGTAAAAACAAAAACACACAAGTTGAATCAAATTTAATATACACATGTAAATGTTCTAGTTAAGATTGTTTTATAATAAATACATCAAAATACAGTCCACAATTATTAATCCATAACAAAACCATCATTTGTAGGTACAGAAATTTAAAACCAAATATATTACTGCTGAGGTGAAAGTCGTACCTACGTACTGTGCTCTGTGCCAGGAATTATATATTGCGCTGCTCATAATTCTTTGTTCTATGCGTAGTCCTATTAGATATACCTGGTCCAATTCTTTGTAAACTAAAGGGGCCGCGTTTAGATTTCCGTACCTGTATATAGCATATACAGGGTGTTATTGAAATACACGTACATATTAAAACTGGGTATTGCGCAGATCCCCACTGAATGTAGAAAAATATTATTTTTTAAAAATACCCCTTATTAAGGGAGTTATTAATTTTTGAAAATTAATTCTAAAACAAACGTACTTCACTGATATGTTGAGGATGACCTATATAAATTAGGTTTATTTACCTATTTTAAACATCAACAGTAATTAATATGCAAGTTTTTGTCAGATGATAAGAAAACTAGTCTTGTAAGAAATAACCATGTTGCCAAGATTTTCGAATTAATTTCTATTTCCGAAGACTGGTTTTTACTACCCTCGTTATCAAAAAACTAGAATATTTTTTGATAAATGATTGTTTTTAAACTATACATTTTTGAAACTATAGATTATTAAAATTTTAGTTGATTTACGAATCTGGCTAACACGAGCGCGTCATTTCCAAGTTGGTAAAAAGTGTTGTTACGATTACTTTTAAATATTTTTTTACGATGCCACTATTTACGAATATTGAACTAACGGATATAGTGCTGGTTTATGGGGCAGCTGGAGAAAATTCTCGGCAAGCACAAATCCTGTATCGCGAACGGTTTCCAAATCGGAGAATTCCGGACTGTCGAACGTTTATTTCAACTGTTCAGCATCTAAGAGACCATGGAAAATTTGAGAGTGTCAATGCAGATCGAGGGAGAACAAGAACACAAAGAACATTGGCGGCCGAAGAAGAAATATTGGAAGCTGTTGAAAACCGGCCTCAATTAAGTTGTAGAAGACTAGGTCTTGAAATTGGAGTGTCCTCATTTGTTGTGTGGCGGACACTTAAAGAACAAGGTTTACATCCTTATCGCATCCAAAAAGTCCAGGCCTTATATCCAGGTGATGAAGAAAAGAGAGTGGAGTTTTGTGAATGGATGATTCAAAAATGTGTTGATATTCCTGATTTTCTAAAAATATTATTGTATACTGACGAGGCTTCATTCACTCGTGATGGCGTATTCAATATGCACAATACGCATATTTGGAGTGATGAAAATCCTCACGCCATTAGGGAAACTGGGCATCAAAGAAAATTTTCAATAAATGTTTGGGCTGGCATAATAGATCAGTATTTAATCGGGCCTTATGTTCTCCCGAACAGATTAAATGGGCCAGGATATCTCCACTTTTAGAAGATATTTTGCCAGTACTCCTAGAAGAGATACCGTTACAATTAAGGCAACGGATGTGGTACCTACTAGATGGCGCTCCTCCTCACTTTGATTTAAACGTACGGCAGTTTTTGAACATTAGATTTCCTCAAAAGTGGATAGGCAGAAATGGACCTACTAAGTGGCCTCCGAGATCTCCGGACTTAAATCCATGCGATTTATTTTTGTGGGGTCACATGAAACAACTGGTTTATAATGAACCTATTAATAGTGTTGAACAATTAACCAATAAAGTTAATGCGGTAGCCGAGGAACTACGACAAAATCCAAGACTAATTTCTAATATTCAAAGTTCTTTGGAAAGACGATTGCAAGTGTGTGTAAATAATAATGGACGGCATTTTGAACAATTACTGTAATAAACTTTATTTTAAATTAATTGGTTTTGCTACGGCAACAGTGCAATTTCTATGGGTAAGTTCAATTTCGATTTATTTTACTTCTTTAAATATGGAAACTAGTAGGTCGGAAAAGGGGACTCTTCCCCAATATTTAAATTTTAGAATTTAAAGTTAAAATTGGTGCCAATCGTTTTTGGTCATTACATACTATTCCCCATTTTAATATGTACGTGTATTTCAATAACACCCTGTATACTGCGAATTTGTGGACCTATAGAATGGACCAATAGGGACAGATTTCAATGAAAAACCAAATTTGGTAGCCACGAATTATCGGTTTTAAGCCATCGACATTCAGAGCTATGCAAACACATTTTTTAATTTTTTTTTTAATCGAAGTTCCGTCTTTACTTGTTTTTTAAATATATTTTTAAATTTAAATTGCGCATAATTACCTTTACGTCCAGTATGTACTCCACAAAATCAGATAGTGAATTGAGACATAACGTTTGTATATGATACGTCATAATAGTTGCAACAGCGTTGTAGAATGATTCCATTTTTTTCCTTTTGCTAGGATCGGGTAGCTGACCACGTTTGTTGCCCTGTAGGAATATATCCGTAACGGCATAATAATATTTGCTCATAAGTAGATCCTTACAATCGCTGACTTGTTTTTGGGTAATGTATTTGAACTCGTTGAGTTCAAAGGCTCCTTCGTGGGTTTTTAACTCGTGCATGTTTAGTAATCTGAGTTTTCTGAAATTAAATTATTTATGAAAATGTTATACTCTAAACGGTATTATACAAGGTGATTCAATATTGAGTGCAAAGATTTTAAGGGCGTATTTAACAGTCAAAAATGGGAAAAAAGTTTCATATAATCGTATGTCCTAACTTGCTTCGTTTTCTAGATACATGCATGGTGTCAAAGTTATTTTAAAAAAAATCAGTTTTTTAACAATTTAATTAAATAAAATCACACTTTAAGACGCCACTGGAATAAATAATGAACGAAATTTTATAACACAAATAAAAATTTAGATGGACCTATTTGGCGACAATCTCCATCATTTAGTAATTAGTTTTCTACTTGTTTTAATAAGGTCAGGCCATCGAGATAGAATAAAGGGGAGACGCTATGACGTTACTAAAAGTGTCCGTACTTTTCAATAAGCATTACATTTTTACGTCATGTGTCAAACTAACGTGACCTAGTCCGTTTGATTCTCCGAGCAATTACTAATAGAGGGAGCGTGAAACGAGTTTGTAGGCGATTGTTGTGTTAGCAACATCTGTAGAGGAAGTGAGGAAGCGGACACAAGGGGGAAGGTAAACATCCTTCTTGTTCAGTGGCGTATCATTTATCTATAAAAACACACATTGTCCAAACGTTTTAATTGTAAAAAAAAACTAAAAAATTTGCTAATTTTACTATTTTTAAAATTAATACCGTCATATATATGTCTAATGCAGAAAAAGAAACAAAATCACTGTAAAGGTCTAATTTTTTCAATTGAAGAATAAAACCTTAAAATAAATTTTATTATAAATACAGGAGCGACTAGTTTCGGCCTTACAGGAACATCTTCAGGCCTGTAATACAATAATCTTTAATTATTATAATAGGTTGGTCACTTACGAATAACATTAAATAGTATAAACCACATAAATGGATCCATATTGTAGCGGTACAGCATTATAGAATTAAAGCTGTGAAAATAAAAGAGCAGTGCAAACGTAACTAAAAATAAGAAAACTGAGTACGGAATCTACAAGAGAAGAGGTGAGAATGAGCAATTACGAATGCATTTAAATTGCTCAGGATAACAAATAAAGCTGATAATGTAGTGGTATAGTCCCCATCAAAGAAGGTCTGGATATGTTAAAGAGGACGGCGTTTTCTCTGTAAATCTGGAGAATTTAAGGATGGAGGGAAGACGAATCTTGCTGGCTCAGGTGTAGATGGCTAGAAAAAGGAGCGTGTAGATGAAAGCTCCAGTAAATATCGTCATTTTCGTCTAATTTTTATTCTCACTCACCGTTTCGGCTTTATCTTCGAAATTCATTTTTAAAAGGAAATAAAAGTAATCATTTATACAAGCATATAATAAAACAACATGAATTCATTATATTTAATAAGCTAATAAACGTTTGTTTCAATGAAAAAAACATATATGTGAATATAAAAAATATATAAATAGATAAGATTAATATCAAAATCAATTTGAAAATACAACAGATAATAAAATGAAATAAATTAATACAAGTACAAATAGAAAGTTAATAACATACCTTCTAAAAGTAACAATTTTTAAGTAGATAAATGTTTAAAAAGTTTATTCCTGAACATAACTAATCTAACGTTTTTCCCCTTTTTAATATTATGAGGGTTTTTGTAGTTGAAGTGAAAATTATAATTTATTTTGGTCCTAATAAAAATTTAAACATAGGTTATAAAAAGAGTAAAATTCATAACAGAACTTTATAATCTTAAATCGTTATCAAAAATTATTAATGGTAAAACTTCAAACAATAGATTGTTAAACAAATTTCTAGTTTTTGTTTTGCAAAAGACTTTTTTGCCTTCTTCGGTTGCCTCTGCCACTTTTCTTTTAGTAGTTTCGAGGAGAATTTTCCTACGGAAACCAGTAGAATCATCAATTGGTTGGTAAAATTTTGATATTTTGAGTCTGGTAAGTCTTGATAAACTTTCTTCTTAGGAAGCTATAACCTTATGGAGAATAAAAATTTAATGTTAGATCAAAAGCTCTTAATTGAGAATTATATTGGCAAATGCCGTTTTAATATTTTCAAAAGTTCTTGGAATCGTTGTTAACAGAAACCTGCAAAAAAATATATAATTTTATTCCTAAAATATAAGATATCACACAATGCACATTCATATAATATCATTGTGCTAGAAAAATACTAGGGTAGTTACTGAGACAATTTAAAAAAAGTATTTCGAGAAACTCAACTTTTAATGTCATCATTGTACTTAACTTTTTTATTACTAAATTATTAATAATGTCATTTTGTGTAGTTCGTTGTGATTTGTATAATATATATTATTAAAACCCATCGTCAATGTTAATGTGCCAAGTTTTTTTAATAATTATGTCCTTGTTATAGTAAAAACACATTTAAACACATTTTTAAAGTTTTCTGGATTTCTGCTTTAAATTATCGTACAATTGAACTGACTAATTGTGTGTTTCAGTAAAGGTATATCTCTTTTTTGTTATAACAGTCTTTGTATATTGTTCTAACTTTTTAGATAATCAGAGAAAACAGTAAGACATCTTAATATATCCTATTTCACCAACAAAAATGTAGAATAATTAATCTCACATCAAACGAAAAAAGTAATTTTAGGATGTCCTAATAGGTTTTAACTTAAAACTAAATAAAATGTATATTGCAACTGTGTTTAAATAAATGAATGTTTTTATACCTGACTATAGCACCAGACAAACATTATTTTAGATCATAATGATCTGCATAACTCAAAATAGTTAAAATCCACATTATTTAAGTTGTTCTAGTATTGTTTTAGCATAACGATGTTAACTCCAATAATAAATATTCACATCTTTTTGGGACGTTTTTTAAGGAAATGAATAATGTGATATTCTTGTTTAGTTTTGTACTATATAATATAGTTCATTAGGTAGTGATTTAGAAGCAAATTATGTTCTATTTATAGAATAAAAAATCACTCATAATATCTAAATATTTATACCTATTTATATTTTGGACAGGAAGACTATTTTATGTTTTTGGCTCTGAATACTTTTCTTAAGAATTTTAAAACCTTCCTTAGCTCTTTTGGGATATTCCATGCATATCTTAGAAGTTCATTTAGTTTAAACCTAAAACAAATTAAGTACAAAAAATGAACATTTAAACAATACACAAAATTAGTCTTTTAGATTAGTTAAAAAAAAGTGTCAACAAAAAAATAGCTATGCCTTTTTCCTTAAACATTCTTTTTGAAAGAAACTTAAGTTTCTCTACTTACTTGCTGTTTTAGTATTTTAGTAGCAGATGAATATAGTGTAGAAGTAGTGACAGGATTGATTATTATACTTCTTTTGTCGAAATTGCATTTTTCTTTAATATTTTCCTTCCCTGAGATCTGTAATAAAAATGCATTAACATAAAAAGTTATTCAGGTGGTCACTTGTTGAATTCCTATATTTTGGAACCATGTATTTCTTTCTCATATCAAGAAAAGGAAACCTAAAAAAAATAACAATAAACTTTACAAAGATGTGATATTAAAATAATAATAAGTTAATAACCTTTACTATAATCATTATGAGACGGATGAAGACGAACGTAGCTGGAGTGTACTTGCTCTTAATTTTAATTTTTCGATAAGAAAATAAAGAAGTTTAATTGCAAATTAAAGGTGATTGCCTAATGCACCGCCTCTGATAATTAGGTTGTGTCTGTACTTACTTATGATATTATCTTGAAGAAGCATTTTCAACAGGCCTTTTACACATAAAGCATGTTTTCACCATATTATTAGAGATAATAAATCTTAAATATACATTTACAACCTTTACAACGTTATCAGGGGGGGATATCGCGCATGGTGTCATGTCGGCGCTGACGTCATGCGTAGAGTTAGTAGAGTTGGCGCGAAATAAATATCATATGACAGACGCATGTTGCAGTAGTTTGTGAGTGTTTTATAGTAATTTATAAAATATTAAGCACGTATTTGTATTATATTATATTGTAAACTTTGTTCTCTGTGAGTGGTTTTAGTGAAAAACATTGAAAAATTGCTGTACGGATGTAACAGTAACCATTAAAGGAAACAATTCAAGAAAGATATTATGATTTTTCGCTTTCCTCGACAGTAGGAGCTTAGTCAGAAGTGAGGAGTGGCCCAAGGGCGGCTTTAGCGCAGGCCCAGGGGAGCATGCCGTTCCCTAGATTAAAATTCTTAAAATCAATTAGCGTTTTATTAAAAAAAATATGCTAAATAGGCAATTTTACCCTCCTTCCCTCCCTTGCAGTGGCTTGTGACCCTACAGATAAATTTTCATATGTATTCCAAGCACTTTCAATCTTTCAATTATAAAAGGGACCTCAAACCAGATCTTCACATAATGTGAAGTTGTGAATGAACCAGTCTGAATTACATTGGTTCATTCACAACTTGGGACTTCTAAACTGAAAGCTAAAAATTTTGCAATATAAACAAAAGTGAAATTGTAAAGGTCACCAAAAACAAAACAAAAATCGACTTGTACTTGATGAATGAATTACAAAACTGACAGCGACTAGGTCCAGGAAAAATGCAGCGACATTTTCCTTTAATTTTGTATATGCACCTACCATATTTTATGTAACAGTTATTTGTATTTGGTACATTTTTTTTATGTTTTGCATTATATTCTATTTTCAGTTTTGAGAGTGTTGCCTTTTGAGTCTCAGGAATTGAAGCAACTGCTAAATTCTTACATACTGAAAATAGACATCGATTGTAGAAGGGGGTTAGACTCTTGACATACATTCCTGACTTTGGCATTGATCACTTTTAAAGTTTAAACGTCTGATAAAGGACTTGGGTGAAAAATTCAAAATTTGCACATTCGTTGTTTTGGCATTGTAACGACGTTATATAAAAAAAATATTTTTTTAAAATTTATTTTTATTCAGTTGAGTAATATAATGCAGGTAAATGAGTAACCAGTTGCAAATCCTAATCAGGTAAAAATTTCCGGCATACCCAGATG